AGCAAATGCACCCTGCACCCCATTCCATTTCGTTTATTTTCATTAAGTGTATTCCAATTTACAGTGAGGAGAGGGTCTTTACGTTTTTACTTTTCTATTTTGGTGTCAAATCTTCTTCTCTTGTGTATTTTGCATTTCAGTAGGTTAGATCAAAGTAGGTAGATTATATGAGATGGAAGGACCGGATCATAAAGGAGTGAAGAGACAAAAGGGCAGACCTCATCCTCTTTCTCTCCGCTTTACAACTTATATACAGTGAATGATACAAGACAGACAGAAACAGGTTGTTGAGAATTGGAGGTGGTGCTTCGAGGGAGGCAGGCTTGGCGTTTGGAGGTGGTGAAAAAACAATACAGGTATGAAGATATATACCTCGGATATGAAAATCCGAAAGAGGAGATTCGGATCTGGATACCCGATGCAGTCTTTGTCGGACGTCGACAGTCGATGGGAAAAAATTGTTTTTCGGTTGTCGACAATCGATGGGAAATTTTTTTTTGTCGCATTTGGAAATGCGATGCATATGTTTTTAAATTTATACTTCGCACCTCCAGATCTGATGGTGCTATGTATTGTTTCGCTTTTGAATTTCTGTGTATTTTTTTGCAGTGTGTTTTAAAGAAATGATTAGTAAAAATGGTCCAAAGTTGATAGAGAATTACATATGTTGTGAGGTTGCAATGATAATTTGGGACAGAGAGAGATAGATGGAGGGAATGGAGTGTCGTGATATGAGTGAAGAATGTGGGGGTGTTGTTTATGTTGGAAGGGTAGAAGAAGAAAAGATAATGAGAACAAATTGTGAAAATGTAACATATTTGGGAGGTGGGGTAGGAGTAGTCTACTTTAGGTTCATGGCTGAGCAGAGCTTGTGAGAAAGATAAGAAAAGAGAAGAGAGAATTGTATAGCCAAAGACCAAGCCAACCCTTTACAGGCGCACACCAACTGTTTGAAACTTTTCTTTAATTTATATTCAATTTGTATAGATAAAAAAAAGGAACTTCAATCTTCACTATGACTAAAGTTAAATCACAGGCTTATTTACTTCCATCGTGCTGTGCGAGAGAAAGGAGGGCAAATGGTGGTACTGTGCGTGAGAAAGGAAAGCATACGTGAGGGGTTGAGAGAGAGTCAGCAAATGACATCCGACACACAAATTCTAAAACATATTTTAATTAAGGGCATCCTAAAACATTTTAATTAGGGGCTAAATGGGTATTTTAGGAAAGTTTGGAGGTGATGAAACACTCAATTATAAATTATAGTTATACAATAGCATATTTCTCTTTGCACCTCACAGTTTCCATTTGAACCCTGAATGATTAGAAGAACAAATTAATTACTCCATTTTGACCCCACAACCCTCCCCTCCTGCCTTGCTGCCTTCTTGCTGCCACGGGTTGTATCATGAATGGATGTAAGAAAAAGGTATTTTGGATTATGCAATTTAAAAATAATTCTTTTTGAAAAAAAAAACTGTATAATTGTGTTATTTAAAAGGTGTTTCTAAAATATACAATTTAGAAGTAAAAATATAATTTGTGAATTGTTTAATTTAGATTCTTTTAATCAAAATATAAATTTTGAATTATACAATTTTAATTTTTTTTCATGTAAAAAGTGACTTTTAAATTACACAATCTAAAAATAAAAAAGTTTCTGAATTTTACAGTTATATTAACTTTTTATCCATATAATTTGGAAGCTTTTCTTAACAAAAGTATAATTTAAAAATGGAAAGATAACTCAGGTAATACAACAATATAATGAAAAAAAGTTAAAGGCAAAGTAAACATGATCATATTTATAAGATGTAGAAGAAAAATTATGGGAATGCAACAAGAAATCCCTCGATTTCAAACTAAAAAACCAATATGCTATGCATGTGGCCAGTGGTGGTGACATGGTTGGCGTTTTCCATCTTCAATTTTTTTAGTCAAATGTGAAATGAAAAGTTGGCACTCAGTCGCAAGACCTAAAGAAAACATAGTTGACATCAGATATTGTCCAAAATTTTATTTCATTCTTAACATATTTGTACCTATTCTCTCTGTCATTCTCATGTTGTCTATTTTGAACAAAATAAAATTAGAGGCAAATCCAAAGCGAAGTAGAAATAGTAAACCCTAACGAGAAAAAAGTGGGCCAATCCATATATTTAGAATGAAAAAAAAGAATATGAGCAAAAGCACATAGAAAAGGGAGAGGAAGAGAAAAAAACCCTAAGAGAGAGAGGAAAAACATAACTGCTTTAACGGCCACCTCTATCCCTACCTCATCACACCTACTTGGCCATTCCTCCATCGCTCCTATTCTCCCTTTACCTTTCCTATTTTCTGCTTCTTCCTTTTCCTCCATTTTCTTGGAAACCCAAAAGCAAAATAAAAAAATATGAAACCCAAACAAAACATCAGGGAAGGGTAAAAGAAAAAGAAAATTCAGCTCAAACCATACAAAAGAACAAACAATCCTCAAAAATTCTACCAACGTTGCTCTTTCCCTCAAACAAACGGTGCTTTCAGTGTCATATGTCCAATGTCACCACCTTAGAGATTATTCATTCGTTGATTCGTTGTTTCACAATTTGTTGAACTCTGGAAAACAATGCAATACAACATCTTCCCAATAATGCGTAGCTTCAACATCATTGACGGTTGCAAGGGAACTCAATTGTATACTATCAACCCCTCCGGCACCGGCACCGCCACCTGCAGTGGTATTGGCGATAAGCTTCTCCAACAACTTCACGATCACATTAAGACCCAAACCCTTAGAACCAAATCCAATCGGAACTTCATTTCTCCGAACACCACCCCACCTTCCGAGGTTGTTTTCTGTGAGGGCACCCTCCTCCCCTATGGCCTCCCCATGACAGAACTTCTTGAACCCAAAATTGAACCGTCCCTCGTCTCTCCCGATTTAGTGGAAACCCTCGCCGGTGCTTATCGTCGTGCCGAGGACTGCCCCCAGTTCGAGCGCACCGAGGTCTTCCTCCAGCAATGCACCATCTTTCGAAGCTTAGCAGACCCCAAGCTCTTCCGTCGCAGCCTTCGCGCCGCTCGGCAGCACGCCACTAGCGTGCATGCTAAGGTCGTGCTCGCCGCTTGGCTGCGCCACGAGCGCCGTGAGGACGAGCTCATCGGGTCGTCTTCCATGGACTGCAGAGGGAGGAACCTTGAGTGTCCCCGGGCAACCTTGGAGCCAGGCTATGACCCGGAGTCTGTGTTTGATCCTTGCCCATGCACGCGTGCACGTGCAGTGAATTCTGATGCTGATAGTGATGTTGGTTATAGTGCAATGGTGGCAGAGGATGATGACGATGATGAGCAACGCCCCACGTCCGAGGAAGAGGATGGTGACATGTCGTTCATTGTCGGTGAAGATGAAGTTAGGTGCAATAGGTTCAACATAGCCTCACTTTCAAGGCCCTTTAAGACAATGTTGTGTGGTGAATTCGTAGAGTCAAAAAGGGAGCACATTAATTTTTCACAGAATGGTTTTTCTGTTGAGGCACTGAAAGCTGCTAAGGAGTTCAGTATAAGTAAGAGGTTGACCCATTTGGAGCCTATGGCTGTGTTGGAGTTGTTGTCTTTTGCGAATCGTTTTTGTTGTGAAGAGATGAAGCATGCATGTGACGTACATTTGGCTTTGCTAGTTTGTGACCTGGAGGATGCGTTGTTGCTTATAGAGTATGGATTGGAGGAAACTGCATACCTTCTTGTTGCAGCTTGCTTGCAGGTGTTTCTTCGAGAGCTCCCATGTTCCATGCAGTGTTCGAGTTTTGTGAGGATGCTTTCTAGTCCAGAGGGTAGGGATAGGCTAGCCATGGCGGGACATGCGTCATTTATGTTGTATTACTTTTTGAGTCAGGTTGCGATGGAGGAAGAGATGAGATCTAACACAACTGTGATGTTGTTGGAGAGGTTAGTGGAGTGTGCAAAAGATGGTTGGGAGAAGCAACTTGCGTTTCACCAAATGGGCGTTGTTATGCTTGAGAGAAAAGAATACAAAGATGCACATCATTGGTTTCAGTCAGCAGTGGAGGCAGGGCATGTTTATTCTACGGTGGGAGTTGCAAGGGCCAAATACAAGCGTGGCCACACGTATTCAGCATATAAGTTGATGAACTCACTTGTTTCTGAACATAAACCAGTTGGGTGGATGTATCAAGAAAGGTCTTTGTATTGTATGGGGAAGGAGAAACAAATGGACTTGCTATCAGCAACTGAGTTAGATCCAACTCTTTCATTTCCTTATAAATTTCGAGCTGTTTCTTTCTTGGAAGAGAACAGGATTGAATCTGCCATTGCAGAAATCAATAAAGTAATCGGTTTCAAGGTTTCTGCAGATTGCCTTGAACTGAGAGCTTGGTTCTTGATTGCCATGGAGGATTATGAAGGAGCCCTTAGAGATGTTCGGGCAATTTTGACGTTGGATCCAAATTATATGATGTTTTATGGCCATATGCATGGTGAGCACTTGATAGAACTTCTTAGTCCTGTTGTTCAACAGTGGTGCCAAGCTGATTGTTGGATGCATTTGTATGATCGGTGGTCCTCTGTTGATGATATTGGTTCATTGGCTGTTGTACACCAAATGTTAGCAAATGATCCGGGGAAAAGTCTTTTACGTTTTCGACAATCTCTCCTTCTGCTACGGTGAGTGAAATCCCTAAACT